GTGACAGCATAGGTGGGTTTCAAAACTAAAACTTGTATTGAACAGACTTGATTAGATCATAGATACACCCAAAGTCCCCTATTTTATAATAGCTCCTTATAACTTATAACTCATTATAACACTCTTCTATAACAACTTCATAAGTAAATCATCATTTTCAATATATGAAAAAAATACCCGCCAAGCTATGCAAATGTCCATAGCTATATATGTTAACTATATGTTGTTATGAAAAAACATTCATTATTTTCCGAACTCCCGTTGTGAGGATTTTTAGTAATCTAGGTGTCTTTTGATTTAAAAGCTTTTATAGACAGGTACAAAAAAAGTAACAAAAGGGAAACACAATTTGGATTTTTTTTACTCTTAAATGAGTTAGTATAGTCAGTCATGAGCAGAGTAAAATAGCTGGAAAAGATGAAAAGTTAATTTTGTTCTTTGATAAAATTCATTGTTTGAGTATATAAATATTGTTGTCTAAAATAACCTTAAATAAAAATAGAGTAACACTTTGCTAAATGAGTGACACCCAGAATGGTAATACATGTAAAAACAATCCTTTAAAAAAATATATATTTTGATTGATTGATTGAATAACAATTGACGCATGAAAATTGTACAACCCTTCCTTGACATTACCTGTTATTCACAGGTCAGCAGAGCCCAGTCAGTTCTGACGCTGCCACCACCACCAGAGCGTCCAGTCTGATAGGGCGACACGACAACGTCAACAACAACAACATACACAACCCGGGCATCATCAACCCCGTGTATGACAAGTGAGTGTTGTTAAACAACTGACACCTCGTACAGAGCAGGGGTAAACTAAGTTCACAATCTAATGTAGGCCATTTTGATGAAGTAAAATAATACAAAGGTTTTGTAAAGGTTATATTCTGGATTTGATTACCATTCAACCCTATAATATTGAATTCTGTTTCTTGTTAAATAATGAAAATGATACGCATATACTGGAATATTGTAGAGTACTTTGATGCAAAAGCTGTGATCAACAATTTTGAGGTTGGGTTCCTTTTCACAATGCTACACTCGCAGTCATTATTGTTATCCTATTCCATGTAATTAAATCTAAGTAAAAACCCCACACTACACTGCTCAAAAAGCACTGACACAGCGAGATAAAAAAAGTTCAATCCAAAAACAAATTGTAACAAAATGACGTACAAAACTGGCACTACTTGCGGCGACAATAACAACGCTCCCCCCCCCCCCCCCCACGAATCTTGGGCTCACACCGAGGCAATGTTAGTGAGGGCAGCGCAGCGCTACATTTATAGTCGGTTGCGTGCAGTGCTAGTGCTTAGGTACTACAATTATAGTAGCACGCAGCTAATGTCTAGTTATGGAAACAACAAATTCTAGTTATAAAAATGGATTGTATTTTATAAACTACATATTCCTAACCTTGATTCATATTAACACTGTATTAAAATGTAAAAACTCCCACAAACCGGTACACCATACTATTATTTTTCTAAATAGCTTATGTTAGTAACAAACAGAAGAGTTATTTGTGATTAAAAATCAAAATTTGTTTTAAATCACCAGGTCGGATGACGAGAGGGGGCTGAATAGCTCAACCAACGAGAACGTTACCTTCCGAGAAAAGAAAGATTACTCCCACCTGGGCTTCAACTATCTCATCGACAGATCACCCATCGAGACCACCACCGAGTTATAGTGTTCAACAGATACACTAAGTGACAGTGACTCTGTTAGACATAAGTGAACCTAAGTCTTAGATTACTTACACGATCGAATATGCTCAAAGACAGTTAAATAATGACTCACGCATGCCATAACACTTTAAGGTTGTACTTGTCATAGTGTGAATATTGTGAACGAATGATTGACTATTTAAATGTGAAAAATGTGATTGTATATATGTGCCAGAGATGCTTAAATAATGTGAATGATTAAGGTCCATAAAATATAATATACCGTCCGATATTGTCTACTATGTTCATGAATATAATTAGGTCACCCTGCATTTTCGTTGACGTCCATTTGTAGAAAATTTGCATTTTATATTTTAGAACCCTAAGCCAATGTATGAAAAATACCCATTTTAACAAAGAGCAAGTGATTTCCCAAGAGTTGATTGGTAAAAATATTTTTTTCTAAAAAAAATACAATTAAGTCCCCACTACATATTTTTTTACATTTAGATCATAATTTCATTTCTATTTATTTTAGAATTTATTTTAAAATCGGTTCATTGAATTATAATGAGGATTAAATTTCCTTGCTACCTTAAGCTAGACATCATAACTAATGGAGGCGTTTCAACGGTTTGCGAAACGGGTTGCGTTCAGAAACAAGCTCGCCCCAATTAAAAGAAAAATTTAACGAATTGTGTGTAAGATGTATTGTTGTAAATATATTGTTTATCTTTATTTCTTAGGAGAGCAGTTTGTTTTATAAATAGCTCAATGCAAGTTTGTAACTGTTTGCTCAATATTTTCCGTCCATAATTGTAAGAACACTTTGTAACAAACCCTTGTATCAAATTTTTGTATACAAAATTACTAGTAATGGTTTATATTTTTAATGCAAAATAGTGTAGTTTTACATGCAATTACCAACTAAGAATTTACACTATATATTTTCCTGAGCGAACCACTGACGTAATTTAATTAATTTTTTTATCTTTTTAGTTTTAATTTTTTACCGTGCGGCCATAATGTACTTAAAAACTGTAGTTATGAAAAATTAAGCATAACAAACAGTTGAGGGTTATATATTTTAATCAGTTTGGGCTATTAAAGGTGCCAAATGATAAAGATTATTTAGTGTAACGAGACTGACTTAACACATTTGCAAACCTGTTCACAATGATTGTATTGTTATACAATTATCGACACTAATCATACAATAATAATTGCTGATTCTATCAGCTGACTTTGATATCCTAGTCATATTGACTTTTATAGTTTTAATAGAATATGTAATTGATTCAATGTTGTTTTATATTGTATAGATTTATTACTTAGAGCTATTTAAAATGTTTATATTTTGTTAATTTGTACATAGAGAATAAATTTAGTTTATAACTAAGATGATTTACACATGTTTATTGTGCACTGTAAACTGGGCATTCCTTCCATCATTGAATGAGATGCTCTGTGAAATAAATATTTGTAATTAAACTACGGTATTGTTTATTAATTTGCCAACTTTTAAACATTTGCCACATATTTCAATTATAATTATATTTTTGTTTAATTTTTAGAAGGGCCTCATTTAGTGTACCAGACCAAAAGCAAAAACGATCATAAATTTGCTACGGTAAGTTCTCAAGAAGAAATAATTATTAGCGAATTTCCCTATAGGGAAGTAGCTATTACCGTAGGTGGCACGGTAAGACCTAGACCCGGGACCGATTTACTTTTTAATTTTGATGTCCCCAGAGGCCAAAAACACCATTCGTTCAAATTTGTATATATGTATATATATATATATAGACTTATATATATATATACGTCCGTGAACGCGATAACTTGAGTAATTTTTGTCCGATTTTGATGAAATTTGGTTTAAAGGTGTAAAGTGGGATAAACTTGAATGAGTTCGCGAACCAGCACGATCGGACCATGGGAACGGGGCTTTACGGGGGGTTTTATGGGGTAAAAATTGGTTTTTCTCACTTTTGACCCTCAAAACACAAAATTTCCCGATTTCTCTTTAGACCTTTTTAAAGAGCTTACAAAAATTAATGATTTAGTATATAAAAGTATTTTTGTTCAATTATTAGTAACGGAGAAAATTAAAAAAAATTTTTAATTTTAAATTCCCATGTTATTCTTATGGAGAATATTGTCAAATGTTGTAGTTTGCTTGTTTATGGATATATTTTGATCAAACTTGGCAAATTTATTTATTTTGTACTAAGCTATCAATATTTTACTCAAAAACACACTTTATTAGTTTCCTTGTAGCAGCAAACCTAGGTACTCGTTAAACCTAATGTTATTAAAATATATTTAACTGAAAATCAATTCAGACAAATGGAAATTCGCTTAGTCGGCAGGTTTGCTGCGGCGGGCGGAATTTTAAATTATTCATAATAGGCTTAGATTTAAGAAATAATGACAGTAACTGTGATAAAAAAACATTGTGTCTCTTTCATTCATTTATCACAGTTGCATGATTAGAGTAGAGATTGGTGTGACATATTTACAGCAGAAACAAAATCTTATTTAAATAGAGGGACTTCTGGTTTTATTTCGTATTTAGATACCAAGTGAATTCCTTCTTTTGAAACTTCAAAGGGAATGTGAGTGCAGTTGTGTAGATTGATATAAGAAAGTGCTTTGCTTGGTATTAGTCCTGATATGGAAATTAAGTAAAAGTAATGAGACTATGGCCTGGGATACAGAAATGTCATCTAATCAGCTGTTCTGGCTTTGGATACAATCATTGCATCCTTCTAATTCATAAAAGGAACTAGCCTGAACATGGCCACAGTTTACTATCATAATTATTATTCTTAAAGATTGATTAAATATAGGAAAACCGAGTATTGTAAACTAAAATTTACAATAAATTAATAAAATAAGAAATAGATTTAAAATGTTTAAATATTCCAAGTTCCTTGTTTGGATTGATGATTTTTAAGAGTCCTAATTCTCCTACATAGGCTACACATTGTTGCATAATGATGCTTAGATTCCATGAAAGGTCTCTCACCCTTAACCCCTTCTCAAATTAACAGGTCAATATAATTAATTGGTAAATAACATTTAAACATGTATATACCGGTAGTATTGGATTAAAACAAAAATAATTTAATTGTTTGGATCCAATCCTAGTTTTGCTAATCTAACACATTATTTTTACAAACCAAGTAAATAAAGTGTACTAAATGTTCATTGTTCATGGTATAATTAGAGTGCATCTGCATCGTGTAGATAAAGCATTTGGTTACTATTTAACTTTGATTGGTTATTGAAAAATAAAAATGTGGATACTGTATTACATTTTATTAACAGAGCTGTACAGAATTAAAAAATACTTATTCATACCTAATTCTAATAAAAAGAAAAATATGTACTTTTTTTGTAATAAAGGTAAACATTTTATATGATCAATTTAAAGAAGGCTCTGGATGCTTTAAAGTTAACAACTACTATCACTCTGAGAGTTCCACGATTTGCGGTGGCGGAGGGATGGGGGTGTTCTCGGGGTATCGTAGTACGGTTGGGATTGCTGAGATGGTCCTGAATTTGAAAAGAGTTGATTGACAAGTGGTTGTGATGGGGGCCACTGTTGTTGAGTTGATTGTTGCGCTTGGGCTATTACTGCTATGATATTAGATCGTAACTGTAACTTGTTTTGTGGGGGAACCTTTTTAATTTCCGATAATAATGATAAAAGGAAAAGCTTGTCTTCATCATCATTGTCATTCTGGAGGGCTTTTTTCAAGAGTACAGTAAATAGTTCGTTATCACTATTATTACTGTATTCCCTCTTCCTGACTGGCTTCGGTTCCACAAAAGAAGTGTCAAGTGGCGATTGCGTATCAGAGCAATCTGAGCGAAGAGCGTCTGGATCCTCTTCTTCGACATTATCATCTTCCCCAGCCTCCTCTGCAGCCATACTGCTCTCCGTTTTCTTTGGTACTGCCTCCAAAAATCTGAGTTGATCAAAGTGAACATATTGTTTCCTGCTTGCTGCTCTCGAACCACTTTTTTCGTTTTTTTTCCTAAGCAGCTCACGAGTATAGCAGCTGCGAACACCCTTCCATTTCTTTTGCACGATCGTAACTGAAAAAGGTTTTTATTAGAAAAATTACATAGGTATTAGGATTGTTTTTCTTTATTATAAATGCACACTTAATCGGGTAACCCGAAGTAATTGGAACCGAATGCTGATCAAATTAGCTCATTGTTCAAATTAGGAAAAATAATTTAAGTAATCGAGAAGGACGCAGTTAACGTATCCGCAGTGTGTAATATGAACAAGTAATACACAAAAACCAGTGACAATTGTCCATCTAAAAAAAGAATGTACAAGTTCAAAATAACTACACATCCGTCACCCGCCACTCTCCCTGGAACAAGGTCAAAAGTAAAAAACACTGAATTACAAAAAAACCTTTATCTAGCCTGCTTTTGTTTCTTCAATTTGTATAGAAGGATATTCAATTGAACACAGTGCATCCATTGATACACAGTAGACACACTACTTGAATATTATTAAGATGTTATCATAAAAAAAAAATTGTTGATGTATGTTGTTTGTGATGTAGGCTACCGTTAATTGTCTGTCAAATATGCAAGGCTACCTATTTGGAAACGTGCTAAGCCAATATTTTTCCAGAAACAACAGAAAAATTTTGGCTTGAAACCTCTGCTGAAGATACTTTAGAAAACAAACTTCCCTCATCACTGCTTAGGGTGTAAACATGAGTTGTAAAACCTGAGGCGAGAGGATAACTATATTTTAACCTAAAAAGCTATTTCTTGTTCTTTTATCGATAGATTAATCTTTTTTGACCTTTTGGATCTTACGGAAAATTTTCAGACTCAATATTAAAGGAAAGCGCTTTTTCCAAAACTAGCAAACATAATCAACAAGTTGATAATTCCTGAACCACAGCAATCATGTAGGCCTACTGGTAAATGTCGATCTTAAGTTGAGTGAATACCTTGTTAAAATAACGTAGGTAGGCTACACTCCATAATTTATTGTCGCTAGTCGAGCGTAGTAAGCAGGTACCATCAAAGAAAGGAAGATAGGTAACAAAGTAAGGGACAGATTTGCTGATAAGTGATGAAAGTGCATTCTTCTATGGCAAATAAAGCGGATTTAAGAGTCATTGCAGCCTATGCGTTCTAACTTGTAACAATTGGAAACAACAACACAAATTTCTACTATCACAGTATACTAGATATTTGCATCAAAATTACACTGGTGTTCAAAAAAATATTTTTGGCCGATAAATAACTCTTCAGCCGCTGTTTGAAACTATCCAAGATGGCCGCCATCCTCCTCGTGAGTGGAATTTCATTTTGATACCTTAAAGACTTAACATAGTAATGTAAATGATGTCTTAAAGTTACTCACCCAAAATGTTCTTCTCCTCAGTGGGTTTGTTTTCAAATTCGGGTATAAAATGAGCCAGAATCTCGTTCCACGCATTCAGTTTATCAATCTTATTTGCATAACCTTTTACTCTGTAGTCCCAAATAGAAGGTCGCTTCTCTATTTCATGGATGAGATCCTCGACGGTTGTATTTGTATCTATAACTTGTGTTAGTCTCTTCAACTGCTCCTCTTGCTTCTTTGCAAAAGTTTCTTTCTTCTCTCTAGTTCCCGGTTTGTGAGTTGAGGTGTCATCACTGTCATATACTGTCTCAACAATTGGTACGTCACTATTGGCACTCCACATTGTTTAACTAATGAAAATCAACGCCAGGCAAGCATAAACCGTTAATAAAGCCACTGATTAAACAAAATACGTAATACAGCAATATGAACATGAGAATAACAGCACGTCAGATTTGATTCAAATCACGAGGGAGACTGTGGCCGTGGGGTGGGTTCTTTTGTTAGGTTTTGAGCGGATGCGCACGCAGCTAGTGCTAGTGGCGTCACTGTGACTGTGAGAGTGAGACCAGCAGACCACGTGACCACGACTAACGGGCTCCATACTGCAATGCCCCCCGCCTGTCTGGCAACTAAAATGGTGGCGACACCTGTTGCCGACGTACAGTCCGTGTTCGTACAGTCACTCCTGGCAACTTCGCGGACCACTGTATCGATGGCGCTCTTATCACCCCGCGGCCAAGGTACCATTTGAGTAGAATATAGAGTGGATGCTCCGGCTTCTCTTTATTATATATTTACGAATACGATTTTATTATTACGATGGGAATCCATGATCAAATCACTTTAAGTTAGAAACTTTTTTACGAGGCAAAATGAATATAGATAATGCAATACCCTATTATTTTTCAGAGAATAAGTTTGCTTAAGTCAATTATTGGTACTAGTTTAGTAATTTGCTAAATTTGCAATAACATATATTAGTAAATATGTACATTCACACTAGGCTTCAAAGGTGTCCCAGGTTACAATCACCACTAAAAGTAGCCTTTAAAAACCCAATTTTCATCAACTGTTTTTTTCTCTTGTTTACGGCTGTGGTTTAACATTAAACTTAGCGATCAACTGTAAAATTTGAATTCAAGTTTTTTAAACCATTATAAAGAAAGTTGGTCATCATTGAATCTTTGAAGAGGAGCTATTTTAATTCTGCTAAAAATGGGTTGAGTTTCAAAAATTTTGGACTGCTTTTTAAGCAGCATTTTTCATCACGAAGTGTAGTGTTCTCTCATTCTCAAACGCAAAACGCCACTATGAATGTCAAGGCAGTGGCGTCATTTCACCAAATCCTTGGGGGGGGGGGGCAAACACTGGGGGCACGGAATACCCCCAGCAAACGGTGGGGGGGGGTCCGGGGGTCCTCCCCCGGAAAATTTAGCAGTTTAGAAACAAAAAAGAGGGGTTTAAGCTAATATTAATTGTCAAAAGCACTTCGAATAAAAACAAAATTATGAGTAAAATTTATATAAATTTAGGCAGAAAATTAATGAAACTAACAATAATTGACAACAGACAGAAACATAATAATATGTTGGTAAGTTATTCATCTAAGAAACGTGATCAATAGTTTCATGGTGTATTATTAATATTATTTTTGTTATTAGATTTATTCAAATTAATATATAGATATGACCAAATTCTCTTGTACAACATTTAAACCTATAGCAATGAATACGGTTGTATTCACAGCCTATAGTTTATAACAGTTTAATTTGGTTTTTAAATAAAACACAAGTATTTAAGTATTTAAAAGCAAATAACATTTTGTTTTCAATAAAATAATTTGACACAATTAATTTGACTGAGACACTCAAAAATAATATTTTTGTTTCAAATTACTGTAGGAGAATAGGTAAGATTTTTGTCTGCCGTGCTTTTTAGGATTTGACAGGATAAAAAATTTGTATATTAGCTAGTACAGCATATTTTTTTTCTCTAGCCCAGAAACCAGGGGGGCAAATGCCCCCCCAAATGACGCCCCTGTGTCAAGGAAACACAAACACTAATACACTTCAAAGAGCAAAGCTGCACTAATTGCATCGACTCCAGGGTGGCGCATTGGAATGCAAGAGATAATAACAGAGTATTACAGAGGGGAGGGGGCTGATAAAGGGCAAGCGACTGGGAGCGGTAGATCTGCATAATAGCGACATGTGCTTCTGGTCATGACGTCATGATGTCAGGCACACGTGACGCAGTTACGTTACACCCACACCCAGACACCATCGCAACGTAACGGTAGCAATAGTACGTAATGCGCTGGGTGTGGGTGAGCAGGAATTGCCATGGCTGAGATATACAGCTTGTGTAAGGATAGAGAATAGATTGGAAGCTGAAAGACGTGTAGATAGTATATGACTCAAAAACAAAAAATGTTCAGTAATAACGTAGAATAGCATTTTGACTGGACATGTGTGCCGAAATTGAAAAATTCCTTACTCCTGGGGGATCTTGGCGATGGTGACGAATTGAACAGAGGCGTTATTGCAAGTTTCGTTAAGAATTTTACTCGTATAGGTAATATTGTTACCGGTATGTTATGTTTTTATTGTATGTCGTACTAGGCAGTGTCCATTATTAGTTTAAATAAAACCTTAACATCTCTATTAAAAATAAAATTTTCGAAGAGACTGGTTTTTGTTTAATTCACAAAGTAGTCATGTGTTCAATTGTTTGAATTGAAATATAATCAAGTTAGTTAAGTTGGTGAACAAAAAAAACTCAATTCTTCTACTGAAATAAATGTTAGATTTAGTTGTTGAATTTAATTACTAAAATCGTTTGTGTTATCACAAATCGTGATTAAGGGCCATTGTACAAAGTGTAAAACTTTGTTTCTTCATGTTGTTAGTCTCCAGATGACTGGTATAGTATTTACAACACTACATATTTACAAACAAGATCCAAATTTTTTACGTTCCGCGATCCAATGACTAACAATATTCGCATCTCGCAACAATGCTGGTCAACAGCTGATATGTTAATTATTAACACGAGTTTGCTATTGCGTGTGCTTTATTGTAGATATTTTCAATATTGATTGTTCGTCTGTAAGAAAATTATAGTTAATTATATTAAGAATGAATAGAATGGGACGTTTACGAGAAATTGGCTTTATAACTAAATTAAACGCGGCAAAATTGAAAATGGAGATTGTTTACACGTGTAAAACAAATAAGGTATTTTTTATAGGTTAACTAGAGCTCCAAATTATTAGTTTGATTTAAACATAATTGTCTTAGCCTATTTGGACTTATTATAAATGTGATTCAGTATAAAAACTAAACTAAAGTGTTAACCGTGTTTTCTATTAATTTATTCGTAGTAATTAAACCAAATGAATAGTTCACTCGTGTTCAATCAGTGAACGAAGGATTTGAAGGTTAACAATTTAACCTACCATTGTATCAATTGCGATTTGCAAATCTAACTAAATAAGCTGTAAACAGTAAATCATCGTTTTGCAAGAGGGTTGTATTGTTGTTCAAGAATGCAACTAAAGCAACAATACTGGTCAACAGCTGATATGTTAATTATTAACACGAGTTTGCCATTGTGTGTGCTTTATTGTAGATATTTTCAATATTGATTGTTCGTCTACAAGAAAATTATAGTTAATTATATTAAGAATGAATAGAATGGGACGTTTACGAGAAATTGGCTTTATAACTAAATTAAACGTGGCAAAATTGAAAATGGAGATTGTTTACAAGTGTAAAACAAATAAGGTATTTTTTATAGGTTAACTAGAGCTCCAAATTATTAGTTTGGTTTAAACGTAATTGTCTTAGCCTATTTGGACTTATTATAAATGTGATTCAGTATAAAAACTAAACTAAAGTGTTAACCGTGTTTTCTATTAATTTATTCGTAGTAATTAAACCAAATTAATATTTCACTCGTGTTCAATCAGGGAACGAAGGATTTGAAGGTTAACAATTTAACCTACCTTTGTATCAATTGTGATTTGCAAATCTAACTAAATAAGCTGTAAACAGTAAATCATCGTTTTGCAAGTCTGTAGTATTGTTGTTCAAGAATGCAACTAAAGCAACAATAAGGCAATCGGCCTTGCGTTGAGTGCCATAGAGCAATAAATACACGGCTTGTAACAAAGAGATAAGATCAGGACTTGAGGTGTCATTCAGGCGTTGAGGCGTTACTGTACAAACCATACAAACGGCTACATGGAAAAAGTTATTCACAGAAAGGCGCTTAAAGCTCTATATGTTAATTTAGGCTTCAAACTTTTATCTAATAAGAAAAGTATTTTCACGGTCAAAATAAATGTAATCAAGTCAATAATCATGTGTATAAGTATAATGGAATTTATGTTCCTTGAATTGGAGTTAATGAACAAGGAATTTGATTTGTACGAACACAGTGAGCAAAAAGCCGTTAACACCCAGAAATCATTGGCGAAATATGAAGAAAACTGCTTCTGGAGCCGGACCCTGCAAAACACACTACATGGGTGGTATAGAATAATACAAAACATGTATTATTACTTACCTGATCCGTGATGGTTCGCATAGCAAGAAACTGGTGCGACTTATAATGTAATTGGGTAATCTGATTTTGAATGAAACGTTGGAAGATTCAAGACCAATACGGATGGCGTAGAACTTTTTGCAGAGGCCAAAACTATTATTCTGGTTTGAGGGGCAGAATAAGCATGGTAAAGGGTGTAAAATCCGAAGTTTGAAAATACTCGTATACCAAATACAAGCTGAGACCCTTTTTTTGAAACAAAATTATCACACATAAAACCAATTAAATATTCGAACTTCTTTCAATCGGTCAACCACATTACTTGAGAAATATTGTACCACAAAATATTATGTAAAGCTATAGACAAAACTTATAGTGACTCAACTGGGTATCCTTGGTAAATTCATAATTGGAGAATAAACCAACAGAATTTCGATCACCTACGTTTAACATACAATTCTACTGAGTGCATTTCCACGACAGTTAAAACGTTCTCTCTACCAGACCATGGTAAGTGACATACCAGAACCTCCCACATACGGTGGGAGTGTTTACCGCACTGTGGCATGCGGCAATGGTAGATATACCACAGAAGTGCCGCACGCGGAGTAGCGGGTCGTGCGTCGCACTTTCCCACACAAATGCATCACTATCACTGACATTTCCTATCTGATCTAGACTTACCTCAGGAAAATGCGGAACAGCCAAGGAAAGAGAGTTGGACAAAGCTTTTACTAATATTATTTAACGAAGCGCTTGAACGAATGTATTTTATGCCATAGTTAACCCATATCTCAACTTAGTAAATGTAAAGTGACTAAAACGATTCAAATCAAACTCTGTTAATAAAAACAACAGTTTTTATAAAAAAAATTAAAAATACTCCAAGTGCATACAGTGATT